ATTATACTGTACCCGCTCTACAACGGCTCCGCCCCGGTGCGGTGACCTGAGGTGCGCAAACAGGCACGTGCGGGATTTTCAAGATCTTGCGATACAATCCGAGCAATAAATGGGGAAGTTAGATCCAAACACCCGTTGTGTGGGAGAAGCTCTGTTTGAGGAATTTCAGTCTGGTTTTAGAGAGTATCACAGCACTGAAACTGCATTAGTGAGAGTTACAAATGATATTCTCATGGCCTCAGATAAGAATCTTGTGTCTGTTCTAGTCTTGTTAGATCTCAGTGCTGCCTTTGACACAGTTGATCACAATGTTCTTTTAGAAAGACTTGAACATGTTGTAGGGATCAAAGGAGCAGCGTTAGGCTGGTTTAAATCCTACCTGTCTGACAGATTTCATTTTGTAAATGTGCATGACAAATCTTCATACTCCAGGGTTACTTGTGGAGTACCACAGGGTTCAGTGCTTGGACCAATTCTTTTTACTATATATATGCTCCCAATTGGTAAAATCATTAGACAGCATGGGATAAACTTCCACTATTATGCTGATGATACTCAGCTATATTTATCCATTAACCCTGATGAACCTAATCGGTTGGGTAGATTACAGGCTTGTCTTGAGGACATAAAACATTGGATGACTCTAAACTTTTTGCTTTTACAGGGTATATGCAGAGATCTCAAAATTAAATTTAAGTCTTTTTCAAGACTTTTTATGACCTTCTAAAAATACAATTAAGACTTTATCGCAAAGAACTAATCAGCAGTTAAACACTCATATATTGTTTTTACATACTGCATTGCTTCGTTTTCTTCTTCATGATGGGTTACGTTCATCCGGGACAGCGAGGCTGTAGTAATAATACGTAAAGCCACATGGTACAAAAATGCAAGCCGTGCGCATAGAACAAAAAATTATTTTACTAGTTTGCATGCATCTATTTTTCATACCTGCAAACTCAGAGGCTGTGAAAAAAGTGACAACTAAATTTACCCCCCCCCCCCAAACATTTACATACATTTATTTTATTGAGAATAATAAAAAATGTTATGTGATTTATTTTGCTAATTGCTAGCTATTTTCTACCAGTCATACTGTTCAAGAGAGCTAAATATAATAAACTGACAGAACTGATCAGATAATGATTAGAGATCATCTAATAATAATTAACAATTATTATGAAACTAATTCACAGAACACCAAACATATAAACATCTGAAAATATTCCAAATGACTGTAATCATTTTTCAGTAGGATGACCAGATCCCAACTCACCAAAAGTGGGACAGAGGCTACTCACGGTGGGACGTGATGCTTCAATGCAACGAGAAAATGTAAAAATGGTTTTGAAATAAACTATTCTACATTTTATCTCTAACATGACTGTTAAATATAAATAAAAGTAATATATGATTGATGTCTAATATATTCTATTTAAATTAAACTTGAACAGCTGTTTCTCTGTTCCTCTCCATTTACCAAAGCTTAACTCAGGCTGGACCTTCTACTGTGGCTCTGAGTAACTTTAGAAAATGAAGTAAGAAAATATCATTTCTATAGCGCCTCTCAAGATAAAAATCACAAGGCGCTTCAGAAAAACAAAAAATGTAAAAATATAAAAAAGAATTTAGAAAATGGTTAAAATATATTTAAAATGAGCAAAAAAAAGAGACAATTGTGATTAAAAATATGTTAAGAAAGAGAGAGAGTGCACAGGAAAGAGGGAAATCAGTGGATCATGAGGAAGGTGGAATAGGTGGGGAGAGTAGAATAAAGAGAGAGTGGTGAAGAAGATCATTCAAAAGCCAGCTTGAACAAGTTGGGACTGTGTTGTGGTGGTTCAACCCGATTTCCACAGAAGCTAGCGATGGATAGCTGCCGCTCTCGGCGGCTAGCAGCAGCCTTGTGGCTAGCACAGCACATGTGCGACTTTAAGGAGTTTATGCCCATTGACACGATACTTATTTTCTTCTTGCATATCGTACAGTATGTCTCGCTCACGTTCCCCTCGACTGGCTGCAGCCGCTCTTTGAAATCCGGGATATCCAGCCAGGACGCTGCAAACTTGCACTTTCCCATTCTCGTTGTGCGTTCACATTCACCAACACTCTTCCATCTTAGCATTTAGGTGCGTTCGTAATATGCACCGGGAACACCAGAGCGTTCTTTGCACTATTGAGCTTCCACCCCGTCCGCCCTGGTGCTCTGAGAGAAAAATTACTAACGCACCCACAACAGCGTAGTATTTTTATTTTAATCTTCTTATGCTCCCTCCCTCGGTTCATTAAAAAATAAAACTAAAACAAACTGTTGGCTATCTAATTCAGAAAAAAAATCTCTAAATTTAAGACTTTATAAAGCCGTGATAAGACTTTTTAGTACTTTTTAAGGGTCTTAATTTTTCCAAAATTGATTTATCACCTTTTAATACTTTTCAAGACTCCGCGGATACCCTGTTTTAAATAAAGACAAGACGGAAGTTCTCATCTTTGGACCAGAAATCCAGAAAAGGAAATTGCTTAGTCAATCACCTGACCTGAATGGAATTACATTAATCTCCGAGAACAAAGTAAGGAACCTTGGTGTTATCTTTGACCAGGACATGTCATTCAAATCCCACATTAAACAGGTTTGTAGGATTTCCTTTTTCCACCATCGGAATATTGCTAAGATTAGAAGCATCCTTTCCAGGAGTGATGCTGAAAAACTAGTTCATGCATTTATTACATCAAGACTGGATTACTGTAATTCATTACTCTCAGGAAGTCCACAGAATGTAGTTAAAAGTCTTCAGCTTGTCCAAAATGCTGCAGCTTGAGTTCTGATGAGAATTAAAAAGAGAGATCATATCTCTCCCGTCTTAGCTTCCCTACATTGGCTACCTGTTAAATTCAGAATAGATTTTAAGCTCCTTCTTCTCACATATAAAGCTCTTAATAATCAAGGTCCATCATACATCAGTGATCTGATTGTTCCATATGTTCCTAACCGAGAACTTCGCTCTCAGACTGCAGGTCTACTGGTGATTCCAAGAATATCTAAAATTAGGATGGGAGGCAGATCTTTTAGTTATCAGGCTCCTCTCCTGTGGAACCAGCTCCCAGCCTTAGTCCGTGAGGCAGACACCTTGTCTACATTTAAGAATAGGCTTAAAACATTTTATTTGATAGGGCCTATGGTTAAAATCTGATGTTAGCCTAAATCAGGACAAGTGGGGGAGTAGAGGGAGGTGGAGTGTACAGTCGGTAAAGATGGCTCTGCCTTGCACTGCCTCCAACATGCCTCTATCTAAATAGGATAGATTATCCAGAGTTATCTCTGTAGTTATGCTGCTATAGGCTTAGACTGCTGGAGGATACACTGACCACTTTCCACGCTCTACTACTTTCTTCTACAATCTGCGTATTACTTTCTGCTATTTCAGCTGTTAACTTTATTTTCTCTTGTTCACGAGTGAGGGTAGGAGGGATCGGGAGATCGACAGGCGGATTGGTTCGGCGTCTGCAGTGATGCGGACTCTGAGCCGATCTGTCGTGGGGAAGAGGGAGCTGAGCCAGAAAGCCAGGCTCTCGATTTACCGGTCGATCTACGTCCCAATCCTCACCTATGGTCATGAGCTTTGGGTAATGACCGAAAGAACGAGATCGCGGATACAAGCGGCTGAAATGAGTTTCCTCCGTAGGGTGGCCGGGCTCAGCCTTAGAGATAGGGTGAGGAGCTCGGACATTCGGGAGGGACTCGGAGTAGAACCGCTGCTCCTCCGGATCGAAAGGAGCCAGTTGAGGTGGTTTGGGCATCTGGTCAGGATGCCTCCTGGACGCCTCCCCGGGGAGGTGTTTCGGGCATGTCCTGCCGGCAGAAGGCCCCCGGGTCGACCCAGGACACGTTGGAGAGGTTACATCTCCAATCTGGTCCGGGAACGCCTTGGGGTCCTGCCGGAGGAGCTGGTGGACAAGGCCGGGGAGAGGACGGCCTGGAGCTCCCTAGTTGGGATGCTGCCCCCGCGACCCGGACCCGGATAAGCGGAGGAAGACGAGACGAGACGAAACTTTATTTTCTCTCTAAGTGTTTTTCTCCCCAGAAGAAGCTACAACGATGTTCTGCTGAGCTGTGGTGGCCTCATGGAGGGGGCCATCGTCTAGCACACTGCTGCTAACCACTAAAACATTCTCCCTCTCCTGATAATAACTTTTTGCTTTCCTTGACGTTGGATGTGCTACTACTAGTTTATCCATTTAATTATAGATCCACTAGGATAAATAAAATAAAGTTTACCTCTCACCAAATAGAATATTTACTAAGAAATCACAATGTAACCATAGAAACACTACTTTGTGTGTGTGTGTGTGTGTGTGTGTGTGTGTGTGTGTGTGTGTGTGTGCGCCTGCTCTGTCTTCTCGATCCCCAGTGAGTCGTGGAGGATGGCTGCTTATACTGAGCCAGGATTCTCTGGAGGTTTCTTCCTGTTAAAAGGGAGTTTTCCTCTCCACTGTTGCTAAATGCTTGCTTAGTATGAGGATTGCTGTATAGTCACTGACACTAGTCAGTGACTTGATGCAACCTGCTGGGTTCCTTATATAGGAAACATTATTTCTGATTGGCTTAATGAACTGTGAATTGGAATGTTTATTATGTGAAGTGCCTTGAGACGACTCTTATCGTGATTTGGCGCTATATAAATAAACTTGAATTGAATAGAATTTAATGCATTGTTTATGAGGCCCAGTTGGGAAATTGAATAAGGTATGGTTGCCATTTGTGTTATTTTGATGGTGAGTGTTGACAATTTTGTGCGACCTTTCTTTTGAGAATTTATATTTATGTTATGATTTGACGACAGTCTGTCTTATTTAATCCAGCATGGTGGGGTGAGTTTTTGTTTTCTGTTGAGTGTTCTTAAAAAACTCTTTAAAAAATTACAATAAAAGACCTTATTCAATTCAACTAAACAAGCTGGAGGCTGATTGCAATTCCCACACAGACAGACAGTGATACTCACACAGCCACTAGCTGGATCTTAAACTTGATTGAAGTTGGATTAAACTCAGGCTTGCTTAGGTTATGCTCACATTTCTGAGGAAGGCAGTTAACAATGAATATATATCATACAAATGAGATCCAATAAGAGGAAAAAACTCCTAAGTAGTACTGACCCGGCAGCGCAGCGAACGCTTCATCAGGAGGTGTTTGTGTTTGGGGTGGAGCTGAGGCGCTCCTGCAGGCTGGAAGTCTGGCTGCAGGAGCCTCTGGCGCAGAGTGGTCACTAACAGAAGACCAAGATACACTCATTAAATTGTCACAATTTCAGAAAAATAAGTGGTTTTTCTCAAAAAACCATTACCCTCTGGTAAGGTGACCGGTCTGGTGTAACAATCCTCGGGCAATAGTTCCACTTCATCAAGGGCTTGAGCAGGCTCAATGCTGATCTCTTTCTGATCTTCCCCTTCTTTAAGACTAGGAAAAAAACACACGCACACACACCAAAATGAACAGAGCCGTGTAAACCGACTGTTCGTCTCCCATAGGCTTTTCATACTACTGGAACCAGTGAGGCTTGACGCGTTAAGAGGTCTACGTCTTTACTCATAAAATCTGGGATTACTCTAAGTAGCCATCATTCTATTTCATATAAGTTTCACCCTTTAAGGCATCGCTATTGGGTTAAAGGCGAAGCCAGATGTAGCCTACGCCTCAATGATTCAGATCAAACCATCAGAAACACATCTGATAACATTTCATTAGGGGAAAACAAGTGACCTAACCAACCCAGCAAGGTAATAAACATCGCTCCACCAACGGGAGGGTGATAAGTGTGCAGAGAAGTGAGTGATAGAGGCCATCACCGGGAGCAATAAATGCATCAGAGATGGTGAAGTGACATGCTACTCCAATTAGAGAGTTGGCATTAAACACAGGCACTCGCAGTGAGAGCAAACCGAAGCAGATGAGCTGGTCCAAGTGGCTGGGGAGAGGGAAGTCTGAGCCTCCCTGCTAATGGCGCTAACACATTAGCGTCGGCACCGTCGGGGTTTGGTCGGGCTGGATGGCGTAAGTTTGGTCTCGAAATAAGATCATTTGTTTGTAGACTAAAGAGTTGGGAGAAAATAGCAAAAACGTTATCTTTCTGGCGCTAGAGCAAACTATTATGGATATGAACTGTAAATTTCTGGATAGAATATATATTTTTCAAAACTAAAAGGGCTAAAGCTTTTTAAGCCATGCCCACTTTTAAATCATATCCGTGCCAAGGTCTGTGCAAATCCATCAAGCCGTTATGTTGAAAGAAACTTTTTAATCCTTTAAAAATTGGTGAATCAGATCAAAATTGGACATATATGGCTTACAGCTCATACTTGATGAGAATCTAGAGCTAGCGCAATGACTTTGATATTGCATCATTTGCAATATTTTAACATTTTTGTAGTTTTCTTCATCACAATGATTTAACTTCATCTATTGATCATATGTCCCGAGTTTCAAGTCCATTCGACAAAATATGACGGATTGGTAAATAAAAAAGTTTTGTGTTTTTTGCAATCTAGAAAAAAATCTAATTAGGCGGAAATGGGCATGGCCAATAATAAACATATGCAAAATCATCAAGGGTGCAAGCACATATAAAGTTTTTGAGTGTGCGACCAACGGTTTGGAAGTTATTAGTCGAAACAAATTTATCTTTGCAATAGCGCCACCTAGGTGTTTTTGGGTAAAAGAACACACGTTATTTTGGCAGTTCCCGCATTAACAAGCAAGGAAAATGTAAACAAGGAAAGGTTTACTTTCTGTTCCGTTTGCCTCAGCTACAGAGGCTTCACAGGTAATGACAAACTTTTTTTTACTGGTTAAGCAACTGAAAATGTGCCTGTGACTAATTTTGAAAGTTTCTAGAGGTTTTATGCTGCTTTTGTGTTTGACTTACTGGGAGCAAAAAAAAATGTGAGCGTAACATCCCTAATATGTTATTATGTACAGGTTGGCAACATAATCCAGTCTAACTTGTATTCAGATGTAAAAGTGTTTGTGAATTACATGCTACTAGTGATGGGTCCAGCAACACCGACACACCGGCGCATGTGTCAAGCTCATGGAGCGAAACCTGTGTCGATCAGTGTCGATGCGTGTGTTGCTTTAAGAAAAAGTCACGTGACCAACACTGCTGCTGTGTCGCTCATTGCCGAGGCGCCAAACTGTGTTTATAAGGTATCGACTCTGCATCTGTCAACGGGATGAGTCGCCGCGAAAAAATTACCATTTCAAAGATAAAACAAGACATCCCTCTTTACATCAAGAAAATGGAGCCAGAGAGGAAAAGAAAAGTTTCTGCTGTATGGGATCATTTTGATCTTTTAACAGCAAATAAGGTACGTGTTTGTCTTTCCTTGTTTCTGCGCATCTGTCAGAGTTGAAAATAGCAATGTGACTGACTCAGTGTAAATTATTTATTTAATTTAATTAGGTTAAATGTCGGATCTGCTCAGCCGAGTTGTCTTATACAAATAAGAGCACTTCCTCAATGCTGAGACATTACAGAGTCAAGCATGAAAACGAAGAGGAAGCAAATACACCAAGAACGAACACAGGTAGACCTATATAGACACTGGGCGTGCTTTGTCACAGTTGTTTTACTAATATATGTTTTATTATTTTGAAATCTAGAATCTAGGAAGATTGCTCTGGACCAAGCAGTCCTGAATTTTATTATAAAGGACTGCCAACCCCTGAGTATTGTGGAGAGTGAGGGGTTCAGGGGGTTGATTCAGGCCCTTGATCCATCTTACGTTTTGCCAACCAGAAAGGTTTGTATACACAATGTCTCAGATAGCTGCTGTTACTCATGTAATATATACAGTGCTTAACAAATGTATTAGACCATCGTCTGATTTAAGGTTTATGACACAGCAAACAAAAATAAACACTTGTGATTCAAATATCATGCATGCTTGAATAATTTCTGTCCGGTGTGTCAGCTCACATTTGGGTATAAAACTGGATTCAGTTTTAAATTCCTACCTTCTATTCAACAGGGCAAAACACAGAGAACTTCATAGCTGGATGTTTTTCTTGCTTTAATGACAGGTGGTCTAATTAATGTGTTAAGTACTAGACTAATTTGATTTTGATTCATTTTCAGACGGTTAAGGAAATGATGGCCAAAAAGCATGCGGAGGAACTCGAATGAGTAAAAAGGGAAGTACAGCAAGCTGTGGCAGTGAGTATAACAGCTGACATGTGGACCTCCTTGAACATGGAGGCTTACTTAGCTCTTACCTGTCACTACATCAATGATAATATGCAGTTGTGTACATCTGTGTTGGGAGTCAAACACTTTCCACAAAGTCACACTGCTGACAATCTGGCCCAAGTCAAAAGGGGCATGATGGACGACTGGGCCATAACAAATAAGGTAAGGTGTCTTGTGACCGACGCAGCACCAAACATGATAGCAGCAACACGAACTCTTCAAATTCGACATTCAATCTGCATTGCACACAAACTAAATTTAATAGTCAAAAAATCCTGTGATCAGATCCCTGAACTTTCATCCATAAGACACAAATCTAGGCAAATTGTATCATTCTTCAGATCCAGCACCACAGCAAAAGAGAAGCTAGCTCAAGTGCAGCAACAGATGGGACGGCCCACCTTGAAACTTGTCACTGAGGTACCAACACGTTGGAACAGCACATATCAGATGCTGTCACGGCTACATGATGAGAAAGAAGCAGTGTGGGTATCTCTTGCCTCTCTCCAAACAGATTTAACTCCACTCACAGCTGATGAGTTCAACATCTTAAGGGAAGCACTTCTTGTGCTGGCCCCTTTCCATCAGGCCACAGTGGAGTTGTCTGAGGAGAGTTTCAGGATCAAAGGTCATCCCGATGATGAAAATGCTAAATTGTGCACTTGAGCGGAACTCTTTACATCTACACACACAAGCAGCCACACATCTCCATGACCAACTTAGACGTCGCGTCACAGACACTGCTTCCAATCTGGAGTCATTAAGTGTGTTGACCCTATCAACACTTTTAGACCCCAGATTTACGTGCGGCGCCCTCTGTTCCGACGTCCGGCAAAAATAGAATCGATCCTATTTTTGCCGGACGCCGGAGCACCTCCGCAGTAAAAGGACAGAAATCACAACGGCCCAACAGGAAAAGGAGCAAGCACATCTTCCGTTTTTCACAATAAATCGCTAAACAAAAGGCGTTTTTTGTTTCATATGCACAGGTTTAACAACTTTTAACAACTATCAATGGCGGCTGAAGTTTAAATGCACAAAAATAAGCCATAAATACAGTTGCCACTATCAAAGTAGTCACACTTTGTTGATCCAAACACTGCTGATCTCTTAACACAATGATGGGCAGATTAAACAGCTCATTTCCGATGCTTCTCCCGCACAACGGGTGTTTGGATCTAACTTCCGCGTTTATTGCTCGGACTGTATCGCAAGATCTCGAAAATCCCGCGCATGCTTGTTTGCCCCCTTCAGGTCTCCGCACCGGAGCGGAGCCGTTGTAGAGCGGGTACCAGTAAAAATTGAGTTCGGAAGCGAGCGGCTGCGGAAGGCGGGGGCGGACCGGAGCGGAGCGGAGCGGAGGTAGTGGAATTTGGGGGTTAAAACACTTGGATTTCGTAGTTCCTCCCAGTGTAGTGAGGCTGTCAATCGCCTGAAAATGGAGTGTGCTGCAGTAATTGGTCACACAACATCTGAGCCACAGCCTGGACCTTCATTAGAGCAGTTACCCACTTCAGGCAAGTTGTTCAGTATTATCAGTTTATTTTCACATTTGTTTTGTTGCTAACAAAAACTAAAACTTCTATGTATTTTTTATTATTTCAGATAATCTGTGGCAGCAGCTTGATCAAGAGGTTGGCAGACAAACCACCAATGCAACAGCTGACTCGATCATTGAGGTCCAGCGCTACTTAGCAGAGGGAAACATTTCAAGACAAGAAGATCCATTAACATACTGGGGGAACCGGAAGACATCCTACCCACACCTTTTCCACCTGGCTTTACAGTTTTTGTGTACCCCAGCTTCTTCTGTGCCCTGTGAACGTGTGTTTTCGAAAGCTGGTGAAATAGTGTCCAAAAAACGTAATAGACTAAATGCCAACACATTGGATAAACTTATTTTTCTTAATAAAAATGTATAAAAATAAAAAAAACTTGAGTCAATGACACTGAAATGGGTAATATCACATTCACAGCACTGTCACTTTAATTGTCACTTGGTATCATTCACAGAATATTTTGAGTTGTATAGATTTTAAATTTAGAAGTTTAAAATAATAACTTATGAAGTAGGCCTACAATAGCTTACAGTGTATACAAGTATGATTAGGTCATTGAATCAGCATCTGTTGTGTCTCCAGTATGTTGCCTGCAAAAATATTTAAAGTCCAGTAGGTGTCATTGTAGAGCAAAACAGCAGCACTGTGTCGACACAGTTTCAATACTATTTGGGGAATGTGCTGAAACGCTTCATGAGGCTTCATCTACCCATCACTACATGCTACAACAGCTTGACACACACCTGCTGCAGTGTGCGGAGCAACTAGTGGCAACAACAAGACGGTAGCTGCAGCGGCTCTGCCCCACGACGCTGCAGACATCCACACAAACGGGACGGTGAGGATTTTTCTTCCGCTTTTAGAGTTTAGTTGTTTACAACCATCACGTTTTTTCGGAACCATACTTGCTCGTGAGAATGCAACCTGCTAGTTTAACATTAGTAATTCTGCTCGTAGTTTCGCTCTTGTTCCCAAACCAAACTTGATTCAAACCGTTTCTGCCTTTTACAATGGTTTGTGTCTTTGCTGGTTTCTCCATTTTCCTCCACAGCATCAAGACCACCACGTAGTGCGCCAGTAACATGTGGAGCACACATTTAACGAAGCTTCGAATCAGTAAAAGAATGAATCGAGTAATTTAATGAATCAAACCATCCGGTGACTCGTTTCAGCCCTACATTCTTTGTATATGGTCACAAGCAGCAACAATGATAAAAGACAACTCACGAGAGTCCAGCCAGGCTTGAAACGGGAGCTCCAGACCTCTGCCTCTGCAGTCGGCTTCCAAGTCCATATTTCTCCTGGGTGGTTTTGGACAATGAGGCATGGTTAGACAAACCAAAAGACAACTTGAGGAGCAGCAGGTGGAGGGGGGGGGGGGGGGGTCCAGTCATGATAACTTATGGAAATAATTTACAATGAGTTCTTTACGAGACACATTTCAAATGGTCTATCTAAAGAAGGGATTTGATCCATCAGACCACAAATTGGTTTTGAAACTTTAAAGTAATTAATAAGCAAAACGAGAGCAGTGGCAGAAAAACAAAAGGAATTATCTTTCGTTTTATTTATTGTTTTCCCAAAAGGACACTTGGCAGTTTTGGCTGGCTTTAACACCCTCTAGTGTCCATATTAACTCACTGTTGTAAAAAAAAATCCATCTTCATTCAGACATTCATTTTCTCTTTTGTTCCATCAGAAAAAAGTTTTCATTGTTTGTTCTGAGGCTTTGTTATGAGGAGCATGACAGTAAATGCCGACCATCTCCAGCTTGTTCTGAGGTGTAAACATGGGTTGCTGTAAAGCGTTACGGATTCTCGTGAGATACATGAGTTCACCATCTGTTGAGGCTCAAGACAACTGATTCAGTATTCTCCCCAAAAGGAGTGGAAGGGGCTTAAGGACTAATCATTCACACTGTGAACAGCCATCAACACAGACCGGCTCAGTCTAATATTTTTTAAATATTAAAGGTTACTTAGTTTGCCTTTTAGACAAATAATTCATCTCTCTTCTTTCCCCTGTGCCGATCTCAGCCTCATTCCTCCAGTGAGTTATTCATGAGATTCCTGAGAGCTCAGGCAAGTCAAAACTGCCCTTAAGACAAAACTACTCAAACTGTGAAAAATACAACTCACCACCGCATGAATTGTGTGTTGCTGGGAGAAACAAAGCAAAAGTCAGAGTGCAGAAGCAAAATGAAAAAAATAAATAGTTGAAACCAAAGAAAGTCAGCTAAACAAATAGTAGCCTTGGGTTACATTCAAACGTGACAGAAATGCATCAGTGATGGGGAGATAACTGCAGGACATTTCATCTAAACAGGAAAAATCAACTTATATGAATGAAACTTCATTTGTATAAAGCAGAAAGCAGGTAGAGTTCACTAGGGACGCACCGATTGATCACATTTGATCGGCCGATAGCGCCCCTATCAGTTCTGATTGCAGTTTTCCAAATAGATGAAAGCAGGCTGATCAGATGACGTTTAAAACAAACCACCACAAGGACACCCTGTCCTGCGTCTCAAACGCATGTCTCTTACTGGGGCATGGTGTTTACAAAGCACCTACACTGAAAACGGCATCACCGGTACGGAAGTTTTACAGTGTGTCCAAAAAGGACAACAAATGTGCGACTGCAAATGAGTTTTGATCTGAAAACAGTAAAAAAAAAATAAACCTGGCAAGTCTGTAGCACTCATAATGTCATAGAAAACTTGAAGCCAAAACCCACAAGATAGGTATTGGTAATCGGTGACGAGCATTCTTGGATATCGGCAGCAAAAACCTGATCGGTGCATCCCTAGTGTTAACATTATGCCACGTTGAACATCCAAATTTCTGATAAATAAAGAAAACTGTATGGAAACTTTAAAGTAGAAAGGAGAATAACTGAAAACAGGATAAATGTGTCAAAATGCATTTAAAACCAACAGGAGCAGCACGTGCTACTACGGAGACATTCTTAAGGTGTGTTAAATCTTTTCACTGCAAATGACTTCTGATCTGAAAACAGTAAAAAACTAAACCTGACATTTTAAAAGATTACAAAAAAGGGTGTGACATTTTACAAAATGCGGTATGAAATAACTTTTGAGCGAGGGAGCGGAGTACCGAGAATGCCAGGGGCATGCATTGTCGTCTCCTGGCCACCTTCTTCCTGTCCCTCTCCTGCTTTTCTCTGTGGGCCAGCTGCTGATAGTAGTCAATCAACTTGGAGATCTGCAATGACACAAAGTCACATGCACGCACACACACCAAAACACACGCACACACACCAAAACACACAGATTCTGAGGAATACTGGGTTCTTACGGGTTTCTTCAAGCTGAATTAAAATCTTTTAAGACCTTTTAGAAATAAAAACCTCGATACCCGTTTCACGGCCCTAGCTGTAAAGAAAAACTAAATCCTTGAACTCTTGATCCTTTAGTTTCTACACATGTGATATGTATAGAGGACACTTTGGTGGTGCTTTATGTATTTTTATCACAACAAAAATGTTCAAGGCCCAAACAAGATCTTGAGTTATAAATAAGCTCTTCTTCATACAGAAGAAAAGGTAGATGGATAGATTTGAATGTCGGTACAAAATATAGATTCCTTAAAAATTTGCCTCCAATATAAAACTGAATGCTTAACTAATCATTTATTCTCTTACTTGAATTTATAGTATTTTCTTTACCATATGCCAGTAAAAAGGACTAGAAAGTCTCGGAGCAAGCTCATCTTTAGCTTAAAAACGTGATTAAATCAGGTTAAGGGAGCAGTATACTTACAGGATATAAATAAAACACTATTTGATTAATGTTGTGTATAATATAATAATTTTCAGCCAAAGATGCTGGTGCATTGGGTTTAAATATTGTGAGCATCAGTGATGAAGTAAAATACAATTTTTAAACATCCAATCGTAACAATCTGAAGTAATTGTGTTTCTGCATTTGAAACTCTTTTGGAAAAGAGCAAATGAGATGATTAGGTAATAAAACACATGCGAACTGGAGTGAATAGTTAAAATCTACCCATCTGTGCAGCCACTGTCTGCTTTTGCCCAAGGCTTCTGTTCTATTTATACAATTTATTAAGAGATCTATTCAGACATGCTGTGTGTGTGATCAACAAGCACGAGTTCCTACCCGCTGAACGTGAGGGTTTTCTGGCTCCTGCCATCCTCCACTGGCTGAAAATAAACAAATTAAAACCTAAATTAAAAACGAACAACTACAACAACAACAATACATTTCATTGAAAGGGATATTCCACCCTAAATTTAAATTTTGTCAGGTGACATACCGTAAATCCTCTAATACAGGCCCGGGCCTGTATTTGACTCAAGCTCATCAAGCTCCAGGCCTTTATTGGAAGGAGGGCCAGTATTAGAGGCAGGCCTCTATTTCTATTTGAGCAAAATGAACTAATGGTTCGCTGGAGTTTTTGACAATTAAAATTGCGCCCACATTTTCAAAGGTAAACACATTTCTTTTAACAATGGTAGTTTCTGCTTCAGCCCTCTCCCCCCTCCCCCTGCGCAGCGGCCGCAAACTCACTGATGCGCCTGCAGCCTCTCGGAGTTCCTGCTGCTCTAAACATTAAAATAATTATTTCATTTTCTGTTCCTCACTTCTGATGACCTTCAATGGTGTCTGTTTGTTGCAACCACCAGGTACAAAAACTAACTTGTTTTTATTTGACTCTTTTTCTGTCCTGCCTGTTTATTATCTTCCTGCATCTCCTCTCAATCCTAAAGAAAAACTGCTACCTGGGTTCATATATATTCACCTCATGAGTTACCTTTGAACTGCAGCTCTAAAAGATCTACCGACCGCAAAAACAGCAGAGTGCACGCTGCTTGGTGGCCGCACCAGTGATCGGTGCGTCACCGGATGACAAGTTGATGCGCCCCGCTCCACAGCAAAACGCATCAGGCGCAAATAAAAGACAGAAAACATTAAAGGAAATGAACCGACATGAACGATCGCGTGTTAAATAATTTGGCAACACCTGATTGTTACTGTGGCCGTGCTCAGGAGGCAGATCTACCGACCGCAAAAACAGCAGAGCGCTCACTGTTTGGCGGCCGTATCAGTGATCAGTGCGTCGGAGGACAAGGTGATGCGCGCAGCGCCCCGCTCCACAGCATGCAGCGAAACGCATCAGGCGCAAATAAAAGACAGAAAACATTAAAGGAAATGAATTGACATGAACGATCGCGTGTTAAATTAAGTTTTTGAGGTGGCGACACTTGATTGTTACTGTGGCCGTGCTCAGGAGGCAGATCTACCGACCGCGAAAACAGCGGAGCGCTCCCTGCTTGCCGGCCGCATCAGTGATCTGTGCGTCGGAGGACAAGGTGAAGCCCCCGCTCCACAGCAGCGATACACATCAGGCGCGAATAAAAGACAGAAAACATTAAAGGAAATGAACCGACATGAACGATCGCGTGTCAGTACCTACGGTCTGGCACAGCGCGTTGCCCCCCCACCCCCCGAGCGCAGGAGCTTGTCACCTGCTGACAGCAGGCTGCTGTCTTTTCCGAGGGCTGCATCTTGCCGGTCATTATCACGTGACAGCGACTAGTCGACGACAGGCATAAAAAGTCACTATAGTGAAGTTGACTAGTTCATACAACCCCTACTGCTGCTCCCCAGAGTGTTCTGCAGCATAATCAGCACGTTCTCTTTGAACTTGATAGTGTAATGACCTGGCTAGGGTTGTAAGCCAGGTGCATTCTGGGTATTGTGTTATATGTGTTTCCTATAGTTCTGTTAGTTCCTATGTGCTGATTTGCGTGTTGTGTGAGTGTTATGTAAGCCACAGGGAAGGTGATGTGTGTTCTGTGGAGGGGTTGAATTAGCATGGTTAACTGACACCGTGACTCTGTGTGGTAGGAGCGTGATAGAGGATCGTGTCTGTAGCGTTACAAAGCGTTGAAGAAAAAGCCTAATAAAGGTCTGTGTGAACCTCTACTGCCTCCTGCTGGTTGATTTGGGGACTATAACCCTGCCGCTGAGATGCTCATACTTGCTTGTTACCACATTCCACCCGGCCACAATAAGAGACCGGCCATTATTTACCTCCGCTGACTCCGACACCGGCCAAGATTGGAGACCCGGCCTTTAATTGAATACCGGCCTGTATTGGAGGATTTACGGTATTTCCTAGCGTTAGATAAGTGGTGGTGGTGGTGGTGGTGGTGGGGGGGGGGGGGGGGGGGGACATTTTTTTACCAGCCTAGTCACTCTCCTGACCCGGCTGTACTCCTTTTGCTGTAGCTTAGCATAAAACTCAGTAAGTGAATGGCTCCAGCTAGCACTGGGAGCAAAAGCATCCTTAAAATCACTCAGTGCAGTAGTGACCCCATTCTGCTTGGAGACCTACATAATCACACTGACTGCAAGGGAAAATAATTAGTGACATAAAGGAATCACAGGTGCTATTGTAGACTTGGGACTACTTTATGACATAGCACAGCTGTAAGACTCCGTTGAAAGGTTCAAGGCAGCCCCAAAGACTTCTGCTTCCATACACACACATGCACACATCAGCAAACCGGCATAAAAACACAAAAACACACGACAGTGAGAGAAAAATAAGCACGCCACATTTGTGCAGGAGAGACTGGAGCGTGTGTGTGTGTTGGGTTAAAGCTTTTAAGGTGACAAAGACACGGTTTTTAATTTTATTAATGCACAGAATGTGTGCTGAGCGATGACCTGAACCCGTGAGCAGCCTTCTGCAGGAATCTACTCTGACTGATGATGAATAAAAACAAAGCTTCACCAAATACCTGGACCTACTCCTTCTGTCTGATAATACAACATTAATGTGTTCAGACCGTAAATAAAGTGCCAAACTCTTCAAACAGCTCTGCAGAGAGCCTATAATGTGTGAAAGATCATCTTCTTACTCCTGCATTATTAGGAGACAAAAACATTTTTAAAACGTGGGCAAGCGTGTGTGTGTGTGTGTAATTCCTCCCAGACATGTTTTAAAAATGAAAAAGATGGAATTAGATTAGTGCCAAAACGATCAAGAAAACCATTTTGAAGATAAAACAATTAGGAATTTGAGAAAAAAAAAATTTGAAAAAAGAAAAAAGTTTCAAAAGTAAAACTTGTTACCCTCCGCCAGGCGGCGGGAGACTAGGGGTCTGTTGTCGCTTGGCTTCCTGGGGCTGCAGGCTAGGAGGGGGATCTGGCCGTCTGGTTGGGGTCTGGGGTGGTGGGTTGCTGTGCTCAGCGTTGGGCGGGGGAGCCTGCTCATCAGCACCCCAGCAGAAAGGATCAAACTCTGGTTACCGGTGATGGTTGTACCCAATGTGCAGCAGTACCGGGACCAGAGTGAATAGGGTGTGTATGGGGAGCATGAGTGTATGTCCGGCGTGCATTTTTGTAAGTCTTGGGTTGTATGTGCATGTGTGAGCATGAGGGAGGGAGTGTGTGACTGTGTTTGTGTATGACTGTATATGTCAGGTGGGGCCTTTGACTCCTCCCCTCTCCTGGAACCTCTCTTGATGATATAGATCTTTGTCCCCCCTCCCCCTGCCACACCTGGTGTGAGGGGTTGTGCCATGGTCTGCCTGAGTGTTCGTGGCAACCAGGTCTGGGGGTTTAAGATTCAGGCATCTAACTGATAGATCCCGGTGGCTGCCTGGTGGGGTCTGGGTACCTGGGCTCTGCTGGGTCCCCAGCAGGGGTGGTTGCCCCTGGGTCCCAGGTCGCTGGGTCCCGGGCTCGGCCGGCTAGGGGGTGGGAGGCTGCGGGCGGGCCTGTGGGCTTGCCGCTGATATCTCCCGGGACTCTGCCGGCTGCTGGTTGGCGATCCTCTGTTCCTCTCGGGGGGGGGGGGGGGGGGGGGCTTCCTGGTTGCAGTCTCCTTGGGGTTACTGTGTTCTGGGGCAGCGCCTGGATCTCTGGGACTTGGAGCTCCCCCCGTCTCCTGCGCATCTTTGGGGGGCGGATCTGTGGTCCCTCACACTCTCTGTTGGACGCTCCTATAGAGAAACCTTACATAAACAAGCGCGTGTACACACACAGGTGCTCACATGGTGCTCTCAAAAGTATGGGCTTGGGCACGTTAAACACAGGTCTTAAGACTATGGTGGGCACTTAATGCACTGTGATTTATTATTGTGATTCTTCAGTTAAGCAATGTTGATTTTATATTTTCTTCATCAAGTTGACGCAGTGATAGCTAGATCTTGTTGTATTGTTGTTGTGTCCCTTTTTTTTGTCTTTTTCTGCAGGTCTAGAAGCAGACTCTTGTTCATTGTTTATTTTTGTGGAACACCCCCCCCCCCCCCCTCTCTCTCCCCACCTTTTCTTTTCCTTTCTCTTTCACCTCTGTCTCCGTGTCTGGTCGGAATTACAAAGCATTCAACAACAATAACAATAAAGTTTTAAGTATCAGGCGTGACATTAAAAGCAAACGCTTTGATGCTCCACCTGAGAGTAAATCTGTAAGGCTTGTCACCAGCATTCAGACATCAATTCTGCTTGCTTCTCAGCCAGACGGGACACGGTAAAAAAAAAAAAAAAAAAAAAAAAAAAAACGTATTTGTTTGTATTCACATCTATTAAATTCATCTTTTGCAATAAAAACTGCATTTAAAATTATGGAAACACTGTTTCTGCTTCTGATGCTACTACCCCAACAGACGATGGCTGAAGAGATTACACTCTCAACAACAGACTTGTAGAAGATCTGCAGCATCTTGCTACAGACACTGAAGGACCTAAGCGTCCTCAAGAAGTGCAGTCTGCTGTGTCCCTTCTTGTAAACGGCTTCGCTGTTCTTTCTCCAGTCCAGTCTGTTGTCCAGGTGAACTCCAAGGTGTTTGTATTCCTCAACCACCTCCACTTCTTCTCCCATGATGGAAACAGTGTTTGACTCCACCCTGTTTCTTCTGAAGTCTAAAATCATCTCCTTTGTTTTGTTCACATTCAAGGTCAGATGATTGTTTCCACACCATGCCACAAAGCGCTCCACCAGCTCTCTGTACTCAGCTTCCTGTCCATCTCTGATACACCCGACAACTGCAGAGTCATCGGAGTATTTCTGTAGATGACAGGTCTCTGATTTGTACTGGAAGTCTGAGGTGTACAGGGTGAAAAGGAATGGTGAGAGTACAGTCCCCTGTGGTGCTCCAATGTTACTGATCGCCTGGTTTGATGTGCAGTT